TATATATATATATATATTAATTATGTTAACAAAATTTAAGAACTTATGCATGTTATATGAGAGTTTAATAGACCCCACATTTTCATTATGGAAACTTACATCAATTATAGTTAATACGAATTTTAAGAATTATTATAAAAGTCAATAAATTTAAATAAATTATTATGTTATTAGAAAGTGAATACTTATTTTAAAAGTTATATTAAATTTTTTGATTTTTATAATAATTATCTTTAAAATAACATTAATGATGATTTATAATTAATTAATAATTAGGAATGAAAACAAGTCAAAACATGATGGAGATAAATCCACATCTCACTTGCAATAAAAACAATAAAATCACTAAAGTAAGTATTAGCTTGACATATTTTTTATTTTCCAAACCATTTTCTAAGATTTGATGTAACTTGTTTAAATATCTAACCTAGCTTAAAAATTTGTTTATGTGGCTTAATTCTATACAAAGACTATAAATAAGTCTACGAGTCTAAGTATTAAAAATATTATTATTGATATTAAAATCAATATTAGTTATAAATTAAAATATAATAAATAAATATATTTACAAATATATAATATTATATTTCATGTTAAATATGTGAATCTATTAAACTTCTTTTGAAAGCTTGAATTTTGTTTTTCTAAGTTAACCATGTTTTTTTTTAGGAAAATTGCACTCACTTATTTGAAGGTATGTTTAAATGATATATATTTCTCTCTAAATTTTAAAAAAATCAACTTCTCTTAAAATAACATAATTAATTAAAGTGAAAGAAAGAAAAAAAATAAAAGTCAATTAATATTGACCAATCATATGTATGTCTTTGTTTTTGAATTACATATAATGTTCTATTTTCTTTATGAGAATTTTCATTTATTCTTCAATTTTAGAAATAATAATTTTTCATCCTGTTATTTGAATTTTTTCGTTGAAGATGATATATTTTTAAATCACAACGTACATGATGTTTTTAAGTTTCATTCAATTATTGGTACTAGTATTAAAAAATTGTTCTATCTTAATAATACACGGATAATGTTATTTTATATAAAGAATTATATATGTTACTTAGATAAATAAATAAGGAATTAATATTCTCTTAATTAAAATTAAAAAGGAAATATGTGTAATTTAAAAAGACCTGAAAAGAGGTAATTACAACTTTCTTTCTTTTAAAGATAATGTTAACAATAATGTTTTTTTTTCTAAAGTTTAAGACTTGGTATTTTTAATAAACAAATCAAACCAAACTTTAAACAAATTAGGTTATGGACACCTGACATTTTACTTGACCAGATTTTATACATTTCATTAATTCTAATTAATGAATAATTATAAAAATATTTTATACATTGATTTGAATTAATAAAATATAATATTAAATAATTTTTAATTTTTTAAAAAATTATAAACTTAATCTATACATTAAAAAAATTTAATTCAACAATTAAATAACTAAAATTTGATCCGCCGCTAATTAAAAATTCAAAAAATCACCGAAAGTATTTTGGTGCAGCTGTACCGGCGGCTAACACTCTTTTCGTCTTCACACTTTCCGTTTCTTTTCTTCTCTCTTTCTCTCCTACTTCGCAAGTATGTCGTTTACCTTTGAACGTGAAACCTTTGATTTTTTATTTTATTTTATTTTATTTTTTTGCATAAGTTGTTATTGATATGATGTTATATTTCTACTTTACTTTTTTGATTGATATTATGCATTATTGTTGTGGAATGAGTATTACCATAATCGCTGCATTTTAACGCTCTCTTGCGATTGTTTGAGTTGTATTTGTTGATTTTGTTTCTTATCAGCCTGTGTTGCGTGTTGCATATTGACGTTCAAGATAATCGCGTCGTATTGTGCTTTATCTTGTATGCTTTTCAATTTAGGTCACGTCCTCGCCGTGTATTTGTATTTGTATTTGTATTTTCATTTTTTAAATATGTATCATGCAATATGGGTTGTTTATTTTTATTTTATTGACATTTATGCAGATGGCTATGACCATTATTCTTAAGAAAGATAACAAAGTTATATGCTCCACGAAGTGCCTAGACCCGCCGATTAGGCTGTATGGATTTTGTTCTTTCTTAATTCATATTTTATTTATTTATTTTAAAAGAAGCCACTGAAAACTCGTTGTACCCTGTTTTTTTGTAAGGTAAATGAAATTTATGGTGTGATATGTTATCCTGAAAATATTTCCAGGCCAAAAGATTTGAGCATCGCTTCTGTAGTTTCAACAGAGAAGGTATCTAGTCTTTCTAGATTGCCACGATTTTCACTAACTCCGGCACCAGATAATTCACAGGAAAAGGGTGAATGGGGTAGATTTTTGGATTTCCTGCACGAATATAATAGGGTATGATGCTTTTTATTTTCATCCCTAAAAAATCCTTTTTATTTACTCAGCCCGTGTTTTTGTTTCTGATCTATAGCAAATTTATGCTTGTGATGAATTTGTGTAATTATGTTGGTTGCTAAATTGCTATGATTCTAAGCATGTTTTGGAGGAAATATTAATTTCTTTAAATTTAATTGTAACTCAATTATATATATCAGGACAAATCTAGATTTGACTTTCACAACAGTCAATTCTTTACTTTTATGATGATGTCTTGTCACTATTTATTTATTAGATGGTATGTTTTATTTTTCTGTGAATAGTATACACTATCTATGCTGAAAGTGACGAAGGGTGCAAACTGCAAACTCAATGACAAGGGAAGATATGTAGAGAAAAGCCCTCTTGTTTTCTAAAACAAAAGAGAAAACGAAAATGACTAAAACCTTTGATACACGGATACTTCTACCTGTACTAATTTGTACGTATTTGATATCAGCACTTACTGGGCATACATGGCTATGTATCCATTATTATCCAATATTCAGCTATAACTCAAGTACAAAAGTAGTTCCTGCATAACACAAGTTTTGTTGGTTCTCTGGTTTATTATTAAATGAAATTAGCTGCTACCTCTCTCTTGTTAAAACTTGTGTATATGTGTGTTTATAATACTTTTGCTTTCTTGCGTTAGATTATTATTAAAATTCTATTTATATTTATATTATGCTTTTAATGCTTTATGGTGAAAGATGTTATTCTATTATTAGATACAAATGGTGAAAACACGCTCACATAGACACTGGAGATACTATTATATATATAATGAAATATAATGAAATAATTACATGGATCCCTAATGTCTTAACTACCATAATTAAAGGATTTCCCTAAAATATTTATATTTATTTTCAATATGTATACATCATAATGTTTTGTTTTATCTAATGACTAGTAAGATGTTTTTGTTAGTACAATTTCCCTTGTTATCATAAACTACGTATGGCTGCATAATGGTATATACACATACATAAATTAACATTATACAGTTTTGAATCTGTTTTCAGTGGTTAATAATCTTCTTGGGAGATGCAATTTTTGGTTGTGTTTCTACATAGGTTTGTTCTAGAGATGAGTACTAGGTTGCCCCTTGTTGGCTATTTTAATTAACAACATGCATGTCTGCCGTCATGTATTTTATGATTATGTATATATATACATTAAAAAGAAAACTAAAAAGTTGTGAAATGGAAGTATGCTCATTTATTAGGTATCTATGGAACACCAATACTTCAATTTGCTTGATGTATCTGTATCCGATATGATACTCACAAATATTTCACCAATACTTATTGGTAATACGTATCGATATAATATTCTAATTTTTTAAAGAATTATGAAATATCCATTACAACTAAATAAGAATATAAGACATATAAACATGTTTAATATAGAAACATAGAAACATTGGTCCTTAATGAACTATAAATGAAAATTGTCTTCTATATTGATGATTTTAAGAAAGAAATGAAATTGACAATTTTATTTCTATTTGTAAATAATAAAAAGTAAATTATGATGAAATGGTTTATAATTTATTTGTTTTTAGTAATGTACAATAAATGTGTTTTTAATTTGGATTTGCAAAATAACAATTATATATTTAATGTTTATGAATTTTGATTAAAATTACAATTACACATTTATTATATTTCATGAATGTTGATACATGTGATGACACTTGTCGCATCCTACATATTTTTAAACAATCGTATCATCATATCGTAAACGTGTCATATCTTATATACGTATTGTATTATTGCATCATAGCTGGGCTTTATCTTTAGCTGTCTCAATGGTTTTACTATCTTTAATGGTAGCTAGATCTTATGTTTTAAATGAGAGAGGTTACTTTTTCAGTTTTTTTTTTAATTTTATTTTCTGTTTTTTTTTTCTCTCTAGGTAGTCAAATCCTTGACTCCCTTCATATGATCTTGTAAATGCTAACATTTATTACATATTTGCAGGTTGCCGTTATAAATTTTGAGCAGCACAAGTTTTACATTCTACCTCCTGCTATAGCTTCAACATCTAGCCCAATCAATGTTGCATATCATATAGATAATACATTCTCTGTTGATACTCTTCCAAGGGATTGTGAATCTGGTGTGCCTTCTGTATGACTGTTTTTGTTGTCTCTAGTCTGCCCAATAGTGCAAAAACACTGCATACAAAATGTTGTGCAATGTGCATACATAAGATAACATTAATAAATTGAAATAATTGATGCACACTTATTTATGTTGAGGGCATTAAGTTGTGTTCTATCTTTTGCTTTTGAAGTGAATCATCTTATTTGTAGCTCTGGGTTAGTGGGTTATCTAGCTTGATAATCGGAATTTCTTTATACACAGGAAAGAAGGCAATGGAATGCTTTATTTTAGTTATTGTCTCTTATTTACATTACCGTACATGATTTGTAATATATATTTTCTTAGCAGCTTCACACTTAGAGGAATGTGGTGGACCAAATACTGTTGAAGATCTTAAGCTTCCTCGACCTGAAGACCATGCTTATCATTTTACAGCTGAAACTTCTAGTGAATTGCATTCTTTGCTCTCTCTGAAAAATTCCATACGGGTTGATCCAAGTTACCTTAAAACTCTTGGTCAAGTTCATTCTGGATGGATTTTTGGTGGAATAGCTGAGCTTGTTGATAATTCCAGGGATGCCAAAACAACTAAGTAGGTTTTCTGTTTTCTTTTTTTGTGTTGTCATCTCATTTCTGTCTTGTTAACAAACATTATCTGAGTTCTTTAATTTACTTTATTTTCTGTAATTGTTTAAAAAATTTCTTGGAACAGATATAATGACATGAATCTGACAGGGAAATATAGGAATTGAACGTTCTATTGTTGCTTCCAGTATGATGAGTAAAAGGACAAGAAAGATTAATTATTTAACAATTTTCAACAGCTTTGATTCATGGTAAAGGAAATTTATGATATCTAGATTATTTGGAGTTTGGACTGAGGTTTGCCTTTTATTTCTTTATTCTTCATTAGTAGTTTAGTACAAATCATTATATGTGAATCGCCCTTTTTATTAGAAAGTAACGTGAATGGTTGTAAATTAAGGCATAAGATTTTTTAAGGGTTCTGATTAATTTGAAGATAAATAGAAAAAATGAATAGTGTGAGAAATTGAGACAATGATTTTGCATTTCTTTATTTCTCACATTTATGGATAAATTGTTGAGTGACTGCTTGAACTGTTTCGATAATAAGTATATGAATTCCATATATAAGTTTGTCTTATATACGAATCTGAACTTCATGTTCAATGTAAAAAAAGGTGTAGACATGGGACAACATGGATTCCTCAACATGGCTAATGTTTAAAATTAAGGACGTTAGGACACGATATATATATATATATATATATATATATATATATATATATATAACATAAAAATATCACAA